AGAAATACAATAAAAGGAATTTCTAATAAGACTGGCAGGATTTAAGAATAATTCTAAAAATATCTGAAGCTGTTGTTTATTAGAACATTATTCCCAAGCGAATAAAATTTATATTATAAATATAAATAAAACTAATAATTTTAAATTAAATAGTGAAAAAGTTTTTTAGTGCTTTTTAGTAGAATTGTACCCTTGTGTTTCTAAATTATCTTGCCATGATTACTATTTTTATTAACCAAAACTTTAAATTTCGTATAATGAGAATGATATAATTTATGAATTTTTCTAGTACTTTCTAAGGAAATCGGTTTAGTGGAACATAATCCCTCAGAATAAAAATAATAATAATAAAATAAAAGCAAAAGAAAATAAAAATTACGAAAAACTAATTATTTTACTGAAAAAGCTCAGTAGGGACTCATGAGTAGAATTCTATTTATGTATCTAAATTTCTACCAATCAAACTGTCCTCTTATGTATTTAAATTAGCTTGCAATTATTATTATCTTTATTGATTAAAACTTCTAAGTTCTTGTAATAAGAATACAACCTATGAATTTTTTAGAAAAATATCTAAATTGGTTAGTTGGAGAATAAAAGTCTTATTAAAAAAATCAAAATGATAATTTTTATAAAAAAATGAAATATTTTTTAAGTGCTATTTAGTGGAATTGTTCCCTTATGTATCTAACTTATCTTGTGGTTATTACTATCTTTATTAACAAAAATCCTAAACTCCATGTAATTAAAATAATACAACTTATGGATTTTTAAAATAATATCTAAAGCAATCGATTTAGTAGAGCGTTATGCCTCAAAGTATGAAATTTTATTGAAAAAAAAAGAAAAGAAAAAACATAAAATAAATTTAAAATAAAAAAATAATTATTTTAATGAAAAAAACAGAAATTTTTTTTGTTGTGCTCATTAGTTGAATTTTCTCATTATGTATCTAAATTTCTACTAATCCTCACTACTTCGAATTGTTTCGTGCCGGTACAGTTGGGGGTGGAGGAAAAAAAAAGAAAGAAATACAATAAAAGGATGGCATGGGATGCGCAGCGGCCGGCAAATGAAACCCCCCTCCAACACATTCTGTGGACGGTGAGCAATTTTGGTCCTACATCATTTGCCGGTAGGCGCGCGCATCGAACGAACGCAGACTAGCAAAGTTCTACGCTCTCTCTATGATCGGCGGGAGCGTTGGAAGATGAGTAAAGCAGCTCCTTTCTCCACAACTGGGATCTTTGAAGATGACATCAGCGCGGCAGGCTCTGGGTTCAAAATTTAGAGCGTCTTCTATGGAGAAAAGAAGGCATAACACGAGACACGCGGCTGCTAAAGCTGCTGCAGCCGTACCATCTTTTATTTCTTCCCAAACAACCCCAAACATCTCCAAGTCCGAAATGTATGAATCCTTCCAAGTTTGGGCATTAAAGACTTACGGGGATAGTGCCAAGACTAAAACAATTACTCGACGCAAATACAATCGGATATTCAAAATACTCAAGGGAGAAGAGCAGACGAATGCTGAAAACTCAAAATTTCGATTTTGGGTCAAAGCCAAGGGCTTTCGAATTGGACCTCCAGCGAGTCAATCATCCAGTGGCAAAACGTCAGACCAAGTTCTTTACATTCCTTGTTCGAAAATTCCGGTGAGTTGCTTTTCGTTTTATTACTGCAACATTTTAAAGCGACGAAACTTTTAAATGCACTTTTTAGAAAAAAACAACAACATTGATATTTAACGACAATATAATAATAGTTTTTTTTGTAAGCTTTTTAAAGCAAACGATAAATATTAAAATGCAAACGATAAATAAAAATATGTGTAGAATGAGGAAATAACGTGTTTAAATGACAAGAGTAAGTTAAAATGCATGAGATCCTGTGAGCTTGCGTTTTCAGCTGCTGATTATATGGGCATTCAACAAGTGTTCTGCTTTGAAGTGGTTATCGTTCTTTTCATTAAGGATAAGAATGGTTTAGTGTAAGTTACTCTTCGTTTGTACTTCGTGACACAATTCAAAACACTTTATCGTTTTATAAAATTTACCTCACGGAAAAGAAATTTTCTCACAAATAAAATAAAGAATAAACGCATTTGTTATAAATATATTCTTAAAATCTGTCTTTCGTTTTAAAAATGGATTTCAGAAAATAATTTGAAGTTTTTCTTTTTACTTAGAAAACCTATTTTAGAATAAGTCATAGTAAATGTATTTTTGAGCTTAATATTGATTAAAAAGAGGTTTTCGCTCCGTAACAAGTTTATTTATGTTTGTTTCACTGTTATTTACAAGTTTGCTGTTATTTATATTACTGTTATAATGTAAATAACTGTACTTACTGTTATTTATTTTAGAGGATTTTTTTCATAGAATTTATTATTTTTTTATTATTTCGCATTGAATACTTTCTATTTAATAAATTTTTTTAACTTTTTGATTGATTTTTCATTAATTTCTTAAATTCTTTTTTTTATTTCTTCATAATTTCTTTTATCTATTTATATTTTTTTTTTTGTCTTCTGAATGAAATTTCTTTTTCAATTTCTCAGATATATTCTTTCTATTTCTTGTTGCATTTCTCATAGTTTTTCTTCCTATTTCGTTAACACTAGTTGCCCTACAATCATTCAAAAATTAATGCATATCTTACCCACATTTTTACCACATTTTTAGCATTATGATTATGAAACAGCATAAACCAAATTTATTTTATCATTTTTCTAATTGAATAAAGCACCTGTTAGTAGTTTGTTTTCGTAACAAACAGTAGTACCTAATTCATAAAATAAGCATTTTTACAACTTCCGTTAGCTTTTTAAGTAAATATTTGAACAACTGATTTTAAGAATCAAAACGGCTCTGTTTCAAAATGTGAATCAATGTTAACAAAAAATACATATCTTTTGTAATAAATTCCTTTGCAGTATGAGGAATATTATATATTTTGGCAACGCTGAAATTTTACAGTCATATTTATCATAACATATTTAAAAATTATGAACATTAATGCTATTTAGTGACGACGATCATAAACATTACGGTACTTCTTATATATTTATTCATTTTTAAGAACGTTTAATTAATATATAATAGCTAAAAAGTTTAAGAAAATTTAATATGACAATATTAATTCGTATATATGATTATATTATTTCACATATACATTATTATTACTGTAATTATTTAGGATTGCATACATTACTGTAATTATTATGATCACAACTCTTTAATCATATTTGGCATATATTATAGAGATAATCTTGAGATTCCACTTGGCAAGTTACTGCTCACCAAAAAAATGGTTTAGTGTTGAACAATAATATTGGTACTTCGAACCATTATATTATTAAAATTTTCTATAAATTTAATATGCTGTTAAACTGAACCTTATTTCTGTTCGAATTATTGTATCGAGTTGTATTCAGTAATTTAGTTTAAAGGGGATACATTTTTGTGCTAATGAGGTGCATTTTGACACCATGTTAAGGTGTTAGGTTTTTGACACCTTGTGTAAAAATGTAAGCAAGTTTAAAGTATGGGTTTAACGTGCTTCAAATTTTTTAGCTATATATATAGTAGATAACCCTGATCTTACATTTAGTGTGTGTTATAGAGATAACTAAGAGCTATTAGACATCTATTATTATGATAGATTATAAAGGCTCATGGAATGATAAACACGAGATTATATTTTGACATCATGCATTATATTAAAGTTGCATTTTGACATTAACAAATGCATATTTTTGAGTTAAAAAGCTATGTCTTTTATATTAATTTAAATTCAATTATGAATTAATAATGTAATAAAAGTATTATTTTGAACAAAAACGTTAAATATCATACATGTTAAGAAGGCAATATTGTAAAGATCTATCTTGTAAATTTGAGAATTTACAAGCTAGATAGAATAATTTTAAAATCTTAGCAAAATTTTTATAATTTCTGAAAGATGAATTTTTGAAACGAAACATTAGGACGTTATGTTTGTATTTTAAATAAATGTATTTTATTATCTTAAAAGAATTAATACTTTTAAAGACTGCAATTTTAATATAAACTAAAAATGAATACACATTGCTTAGATATCTATAAATGCGTTGTTTTGCTACCTAACGTAGATTTATGTCTATCTAAAACATTTTTTCTCCAAAAAGAACTTCGATTTTATTTAATGAATTAATTTTCTTTTATATGTTTTCTTAAATTCATTCTTTATTTAATGAATTAATTTTCTTTTCTGAAAAAGTCTGTAGCTGTTATAAGTGAAGCAGCTGTAGTCTATAAAGTTAGATTTTAACCTTTTATTTTTATCTGGATTAATAACTATAAACAAAGGTAAAAACAGGCTGTACGAAAGTGACTTCAATCGGCTGTAACTGACTATCACGTCTTAAAATTAAGATATTGTTTGAGAAATCTTTTAATATTGTTTCTGTATAATATGATAGTAGGTGTCTAAATAACACAGATTGTCAAAAATTGACTTTTAACTGCTTATTGTGATAAATTATTTCATTTAAACACTCGACATGTATTATGAAATATCTATCGTTAAACCGCCTAGCGTGGTTTTCTGCGTGTTCTTCAGGCGTAATCTTTGTTGCAATGCTTAACTTTCAGTAATGCATTTCATTCAGAGTTTCGTATAATTTCCATAAAGTATTAGTCGAATTTTAAAATTCTATGTTCTTAAAATTGAAAAAGTGTATACTCATATTTTAGCAAAATGTATAGCTTCGGAAGTTAAGTAAATTGGGAAATGTGCGCGTCGTTGGCTGTCGGTAGGATTCGATTCAAGGACCTCCGGGTTTGTAGTAGGATGCTTCAATCACCATAATAGTGCATCCCAGTCCAGGGAGAGTTAGGAAGCTTTATACAATGGTTGTCGCAATCCTTTCACTTAAAAGCTTTTAACATATAGCGAAAAAAGCAAAAAGCGAAATTAAAATTACTGGCCTCTTGACTAAGTTACTGGGGCCATATTTTACAAATTGCAAAACCATTGAAAATGGAAATAAGCATGCCATGATGCGTCATTGCGGAGGTCACTACATAAAGCTTTCTAACTCTCCCTGGACATCGATGTGCAACTATGGTGGTTAGAGCATTCTACTACCAAAACGGAGGTTCTTGGGTCGAATACTGCCGACAGCCATGAACATCTGTCTCACACATTTCTCCATCAACAGTACTTCGGAGGCAATGCATTTTGCTCAAAAATGAGAATATACTGTTTCAATTTTGAGAGCATGGGGTTTGCAAATTCGACTATTATTTCTTTCGGAGCTATTTTGACACAATTTTGGTCAATTTTCAGAAACCCTTTTGTTGTGTATGAACCTTTTAAAAATTATTAATTATTTCAGAACATGCGATTTCCTAGCAAATGTCTCTTTAAATTAGAGAACAACTCAAATTATTATTATAATTTGACAAGTACTGTATGAACTGAACTGGAAAAAATTTTATTTTTGTACAAATTCATGGGTTTTGATTTCTGTATTTTAATTTGAGACTCATACAGATGAAGTCTGAAATTTAATTTGGAATCATTTTTGTAAAAAAAAGATAACGGCCGAAATTTTAATTTAAGTTTTATCGTGTGCAAAATAAAAAACAAACTCTATAAAATCAATTTTGACCGAACGCTCGAATTTTTATGTACCAAGATGAAATTCTCATGAAATACCCACTTAAAATATGTTAAAGAAATGGCGCACTCGATAACTTCATTAAAAAAAAATCAGACATAAAAACTAACTCTCTTTACTGTAACATATATCTTTCGATGAATTTGGCTTCTTGTAAGTCGTAGTTTGAAAGATGATACTCAAATAAGTTCTTTTTACCTATTAGTTTTTCCTATTATTCGTTCGAAAGTTTATTTCTTTTAATAGAAGTCTCTACTTTCGGTGTGTTCATGAAGTTTCTGGAATTTTGCGCACGAATATAAAAATAACTTTCTTTTATAAAACTTTCTTATTTGAAGTTCGTTTTATAAAAAAAAGGTTTTGCAAATATTTTTTTAAAGTTTTTTTTAAAACTTTTTTAAATTTAATAATGACATTTTTGAATTGTTAGTTGTGAATACAGCTTTTTAAATGATAAAGTTTAAATTTTGAGTGTATCCGTTTAAGTGGCTTCTGAGATTTAAATTGAAATTAATCTAATTTTGGAATTAAAAGACAAGCCCGATTGAAATTAGTATTTTTTTGGAGGATTTATTTAACATATTTCGTTCAAATTTTAGATTTTAATATTTAGTCTTAAAGAATTTTTGAGAGCGTCGGAAAAAAATTATTACTGAATTTTTATGCTAGCATTTTTTGTCATAATTCATTATTTAATTTTATTATTCAATTTAATAAAGATAAAAACAATGAATAGTTTGAACATTTTTATTTCTTGTATATAATTCAATCATAAAATTGAACAAAATTGATTCAATGATTTCTTAGAAATTAAGATTTAAATGTAAGAGTCCCCGGGACCTATTGAATTGATCCCTCTGAAATTTTTGATTTTATGATTTAAAACTAAATAGCTTGAGTAGATGTAAAAGGATTTATATTTTACTCTCCAAAATTATTCATAATAATATTAAATTAAATAATGAAAAATCATAAATATGTATTGAAAAG